TTGGATATTTTTTGGCTTGTTACATGTTTGGCATGAATGGCACACAAGGTGGTGTCTTCGAAAGGCCAACCAGATAGGCCTCACTTGCCTCTTTCAAGATGCCAATTGCTGCTCTCTGAAAGCACAGATCTGTTTTGAAGACCTGGGCAATTTCTCACATCAGACTGGAAGGGATGTTTTGCAATCATGAGCTCAGTGGACTTCTGATAATTTCATGGAGTGCCACAATACCAGGTCTGTAACAAGGCTGTTTCTTCACCCCTCCAGTAGAGGGTGCACTTCTGAGAGCAGCTTTTGTCACCAGCTTCTTTCTGTGAGATTTCCCACTGGTTGATTTGCTGACAATAGGCTTTCTAGGAGCCATGGTGTAAAACCCTCTTCACTTGACCATCCCTTCACCTGCAGGAGATCAGTCCCACCTGCTTCTTAGAGTGATGGCAGGGTGGCAGCTGTAAACACAGATGGCTGACCAAGTCTGCTCTTTTATAAAATATTAATTTTGTTCTGCTTTTGACATCTATTCTAATGTCTTCTATTGTGATCCTGGACAGCATGGACCATAGTAGTTGGACATCATTTAGTTCTTCTGGACCAATTTCTTCCTGAGTCTTTGGTTTTCTGCATCCTCCTTTGATCCAGACAGGAAGCTTCTTAGATTACTACTTTTCAGATCTGAGACATTACTTACGAGATTAGGATGTAGAACCTTATCTTTATGAGCTGTGTCTACCAGTTGAATGAGATGTTCCCTGAGACTGTGGTCCTTAGCCTCTAAGCCCAAAAGTTCCTTTCCAATGTCAAAGTAGTTTCTCGTGTGCTCCCAATGTACTCTGCTATATACACTCAGCATTTACACAGATGTTTATAGAAGTGTCCACCCCGTATCTGTGTGCATATGCCGGTGTACTTCCTAATGACCATCCTCATCAATTTAGCATACATACTTATCTATGTATCTGCTCACCAATTATTGTTTGTCATTATTGCTGTGGCAGGATTGATATGCTATAGCCTTTTAATTGTTGTTGTGTTGGAACTGACCCATAGCTGACCCTCTAACAGGTTTTCATAGATTCTTTTTATTCTGCATACCTCTCATTGTCTTTCCTCTACCTTGTTCATGTTATGACATTACGTTGACTTTCTCCATAATTTCCATGACATTTCTCCTTATGATTCTCTGCCCACCTCCATCCTTAGTAACCATCAAAGAATTTCTTTTTTCATGTAAACCTATTCTTGACTTTTTATAATAGTGGCCTCATAAATATTTATTCTTTTGTGATTGACTTACTGTCCTAAGTTTAATATCCTTCAGATGATTCAAGGTTTTATCATTATTATTTATCATTGTATAATATTCCACTGTATGTATATACCATAGCTGTTTAGCCAGTCATCTGTCGATAGACATCAAGGTTGTTATCTATAATATTTTATATTTCTGGACTATCAACTCATAGCTGACCGTTCAGCAGGTTTTCAGAGGCAGTAAATCACACAAGAGAAGATTACCTATTTTTCCTCTTGTGGAGTAACTAACTGGTGGCTTCAAATATGTGCCTTTGTGTTGGAATGCAGCTCCTTGTAGTTATATACCGTTATTTACATAATTAGTCTCCTTTTCCTAGGAATAGAAATTATTTTATGTATATTAACACACAATCATTTCTCTGCTTATACTTATTCCTTTACAGAAAAGTTTTAGAATAGGGATAGACAAGAGAATATCCATTTTTAAGAACTTTGTATATATTGTCTAATTTTGACAATAATTTTTCTAAAACAAACTTATGGTAAATACACCAGCAATTTTTAGTACCTTTCCACAGGGAATATCCATTAAGTTCAGTGCCACACACTAGTTCTCCAAAGCTCAAGGTGTGAGCGCCCTCCTCTGGTGAGAGAACGCTGGTTCGTCTTAGCATTCATATGGTTCTGAAGCTCTAAGGGAGCTCTGGTAACCTGGGCCTTAGGAGCTTGTGCTACTAACCCAAATATGACTCTTCTCTGCTGGTTTAAATCCACCAGTAGCTACTAGGGAGATAAATGGGCAATCTCTTTCCATTTGATTTAAGGCCTCAGAAAATCAGATCTATATCAGTTCTGACTTGAGAGCAAAGAGTTTCAGTTTAGGACTAAAGTTCTGGTTTTACTGTTTCTCGTTTCAGGCATTTAAAACAAGAATCAGCAGCATCCCTACAATTAAGAAGTTCCTGCAGCCTGGGAGTCAGAGGAAGCCGCCCCCTGATCAGCACTATGTTGACGTTGTCAAGCACATCTTGCAGTGGTGAAGGCCAGCAGATCTTAGGATGGCAAGAACCATCTCCCAGTTGCCTTGATGTATGCTGACTGTAGTGAATAATGGAAGCAAACATTAGATTATAAAATGAAAACACTTGAAAATAAAAGCAGATTGTCATCATCAGCCACTCAACTAATATCAAACCCATTGGAATAGTGTCAACTCCTACTTTTAGTGACTCATTAGGACACAGTAGTTTCCCCAGGCTGTAAATCATTATGGAAACAGATTGTCCTATCTTTATCCCAAGAAGCAGCTGATGGGCTTGAACCACTGAGTTCTTAACCATTGTACCACCAGGGCTGCTTCCATCAGCCCCAAACACTTATTAAATAGTCTATAAAATTATTCTTGATGTGTGAGGTTTTTCTTGGGTTTTTTTTTTTTTAGTTTGTCACTTTTGAATGATTGCCACTTTAAAAAAAAGTTATTATTATTTTGTGTGTACCATCCAATCAGATCTGACTGCACAGGAGGAGATTGTCCCTCCTCCTTCAACAGAGCATCTGGGGGATTTGAACCACTCCTCTGGGATTGCAGTGCAGCTTCTTGTCACTAGGCCACCAGAGCTTGCCTGATAGCCATAACTTTTATGGAATGGATGAAGAGGCTGTCAATCAGCTGGGAGGAGATTGCTTCTCTTTCTTCTGAGGACCAGCTGGAGGCTGTAAACCAGATAACTAGGAGCTCTGGTGGCCCAGTGCCAAAAAGCTTTACTACAGTCCCAAAGGCACACGATTTGAATTCATCAGCTGCTCCAGGGGAGAAGGATGGGCAATCTCCTCCCGTGAGGTTAAATGTCTCTGAAAACCCACCACAGGGTCAACTATGGGTCAGTTCTGACTCAATAGTACACAACAACATATTTAAGGCAGTGACCTATATTGGACACTATTCTTACTCTTTGCCTCAAGTTGGAAGCATCTCAGGGGTGGAAGGAAGTGGCCAGAGATTTGAGGGGCAGGGTATCGCCAATATTCAATCTGAAGTTGAGTACTTGTGAAAGAAAAAAAGTGGCAAGCTATAAAGAGCAAATAAGGCTTGAATGATACCTGGGAAGTTTGATAGTCAAATAGGGAATGTCCAGGGTATATAATCTTGAAAATTTAAACAAATTTGGATACTTAGATGATGCCCTTCTATTTAATCTGACCATCTTGAAGTTTGGTTTTGCTTTGGTGAAATAATTCCAAGTAATCCCTAGATTATGAGAGATATAACCAATGAATATTTTCATATATATAGACAAAATGTTCTCCAGTTTTAGTATTTCTCTTAGAATATTTTTATATGTTTTCTTTGTTGTTGTTTTGCTATGTACTGTTGAGTCAGAACTGACACATAGCTGACACTATGGCTGGTTTTCAGAGACAGTTCATTGCACAAGAGGAGATTGCCTATATCCTGAGTGATGTAGTTTAGAGCTGACCCCCACATTGAGGGTCAGTATGATGGGAGACACAGTGAGCGGCTTGGTTGTGGTGTGCTATCCAGGGTGATCTAGGGTGAGGGTTCTGGTGATCTCTGGTTTAAAGAAAGGTTCTTAGCAGTGGCTTGGGATACACTCTTTGGCTAGCTCTAAACTTTTCCTGGGGATGTCAAATGAAACAATCATATCCATTGAGTCCCTTCCAACTCATAATGACCCTTATATTATTTAGTCGAACTGCTTTGTAGGGTTTTCTGGGTTATAATTTATATGGAAGCATGTTGCCAGGCCTTTCTTCTGCTGCCAAACTCTAGTTTATTAATTTCTGAGTTTGTATCTTTTTCCATGCACCTACTTAGGAAATGACTTAATAACACAAACTTGATAGCTTTCCTTAGGAGCATCACAGGGCCTGGCCCCTAGATGAGACCCTGCCCCCTCTTCTTCCTCTCCTTAACATTCGCTTTACTTCATCTTTCCATGACTCACTGATTAACACTTAGGTTAACCTGGACTATTCAGCATCCCCTTCAATCTACGTGGGCTCTGAGCTATTACTTTTTTTTTAAAAAAAACTTTTGATCAAAGTCTTTCAGTTGGGTAACAGGGCCTAGAACTTGGGGTTTTATTAGCAGATTTCCTGGCAAAGACATTGAAGAAAATTCAGTAACATTCAAATATTGTATAATGTTTAATAAGATCCACATAATATATACTAATGAGTAACATTGAAATATTGTATAATTCCTGCATCTAAGTTGTAAAAAAATTAGTTGTAGGTGAGCTATTATTGCTCTTAGTGTGACCAAGTCCTCACCTGAAGGTGACCAGTTCATCACCTCATCTCGTCACCTACCCTGAGAAAGTCATTACCAACTGCTAGATGATGAAAAAGATGCAGGAAAGGACTCTCAGAGGCAACCCTGGGTCTCCCCATGTGGGATTGCCGTCTCCTTTAAACTGTGTCAAATCCAAGGGTCTGCTCTTAGTAGAAACAAAGTGGAAGAGGAAAAAGTGGTGTTTTTTTAATGTTTCACATCTGTGTTTTCAAACCTAAAGTCTAAAGCTTATGTTTTGCAGAAAGCAGCAGCCTATAGTTAAAGCATGGCTGCATTTTGAGCCTTGCTATAAGTCCAGATGCCATTTTAAATCTTTTGTGTCTTTTCTGAAAGAGCTCTAGTGACACATTGGTCATATATTGGGCCCACATTTGAACAGTTTAAATCTATCAATCTCTCCATGGGAGAAAAATGAACAGTCATAAAAATTTGTTGCTGTTATGTTTCTGTTCTGTTACTGTTGTAGCTGATCATCCAATGGTTTTTAGAGGCTTGAATTGCCTGGGAGTAGCAGGTAGGTCCCACCTTTGGGGTGGGAATGCAATTCCTTACCCAGGAGGCCACCATCAGCACTAGAAACCCAATGGAGGGTGTCTATTGTGTCAGAACTGACTCTGCAGCACTGGGTTTAAGTTTTGTTTTAAACTTTCTCCGAGCTTTCAAGTAGTGGCCACATTGTCAGAATTATCCAAGAAAATACCTTTCTTTAGGAGGATAAAAGTTAACAAATATTCACATAAAACACTATAGAACCTACCTTCATATAGCCTTCTTAGAACAAAAACAATAAATACAGAGACTATTCTATTAACATAAAGGCCATTCCTCTCTTTTTTTTTTTAAAGTGTCCATAAATCATAGTAAATTAAAGGGGAGAAATACTTTTTCAGGAGAACAATTTCAGGTAGGCAATTGTAGGGAAGAAAACAATCATGCAAGCTAATGCCTGATGATTCTTCCACAGTCTCTGCAGTAAAAAATCATTGCCTTGGTTGCTAAAAAACTCCTCACCAATACATATTGTATAGCTACCTCAACTACTGTTAGATGTTGCCTTTAAACCTGGGCAGAAGTTTAGTCCCCAGAGTTCACTATGCTGTAAACCCCCACAGAAGTATTGAGGAACACTGAGGGATTGAAGCTGTGAGAGCCAGGGCACAACAGTGGTAAGATTTACCAATAGACCTGGGGACATCAACACGAACACGAAACAGATGGTCATGAGCAGAGTTGCTACAGATACCACACTCTGACCTGCCGCTATGGCTAAACCCATGGAACTGGCTGAATTAGCCACTATTATAAGGGAAAACATCATGATGGAGCCTCTGCTGTTGGTTTCAGTCTTAACATGAGGCATATCAAGCCCTCGGTCCACCCTTGACCTGCGCTGAACTCCAACATCACTAGGAGGGCAACATCGCATAGGGTTTATTTGGGGGAAAAGGGAGAACGGAGCTGGGGGTTGGGGGGTGAGACAAGGGATCAGAGGGAACGCTGACAGGGTGGGGAGGGGGAACCGAGGGGGCAGGTGGGACCAATACTCAATCTGTTAACTTTACAAGTAGGTAGCTACGGACCACCTTCTGCTCATTTGGGTAAAATGCTTGTCTGCTAGTTACTGTTCTAAAGCTGTGCATGGTAAGCGAGACAGACTAGGAAGGATTTACCATCTACTCCCGAAATAGCAAGCCTTTGAAAACTCTATGTACACTAGTCCACACTCAGACTAGACTAGCAAAGATGGCATCAGAGGCTGAGCCCTCCAACTGGGAAACTCGAAGGAGGAGGAACAGATGCAAGCAGACGCTAGTGACAGGAACGTGGAATGTGAGAAGCATTAATGTAGGAAATTTGGACATTGTTAAGGAAGAAATGGAAAGCCTAAATACTGCTACATGTGGCACTGGCGAGTTGAGCTGGATTGGCACGGGACATTTTGAATCAGACAATCAATCATATTCACTACTACGCTGGAGATGAAAAAGGTGAGAAAAAAATGGGGTCGCATTCATAGTTAAAAAGATAATTTCTAGATCCATACTGAAATACCATAAGTGACAGGATAATATCCACACACATACAAGGAAGACCTGTTAATACCACCATCATTCAAATATATGCTCCTGTAAACAGAGCCAAAGAGGAGAAAATAGATGATTTCTACCAACTTTTGCCATCATATTGAACATGCAACCAGGATGCATTAATAATGAATGACTGGAATGCAAAAGTTGGGAAAAGGAAAGAGGGACCAGTAGTTGGAAAACATGGACTTGGTGACAGAAAGGAGGCTGGAGAAAGAATGATATAATTTTTTCACAATCAGTGATTTATCCATTGCAAGTACTTTTTATAAGAAACACAAACACAAATAACATCTATATACATGGATTTCACCTATCATGACTATCATGGATAGTCAACAAATAAATCAGATTGATTAAATCGGTGGGAAGAATCATTGGAGTAACTTGATATCTGCTAGGCCAGGTGCAGACAGTGAAATAGAGCATCAACTACTCAGATGCAAATTCAAACTGAAGCTAAAGAAAAGTAAGACAAATCCACAAGAACCAAAATTTGACCTTGAATCTGTCCCCCTGAATTTAAAAACCATCTCAGGAACAGTTTGAGGCCTTGAGCATGAATGAATGAAGACGAGATGAGCTGTGGGAAGATATCAAGAATATCATCCAGGAAGAATGCAAAGACATTTGT